TATTTAAGTATAATGTTATGGGGTGCACTCTACAATAATTTGAGTTTTGAATTTTTTTTACACCGAAGTTGAGTAAAATTAGTACATTACCAATTTAAAATTTTTTTAAACTTTTTTAGAATTTTTTCGAATATGCAGCTTTATAGCCCATTAAATTTTAGTATAATAAAGTGGAAGTTTTAAGCGATTGCAAAACTGCCGTTAATTTTTTTTTATCTTCTTTGAAAACGGTTTTAGGCATTTTCATCGATAAGGAAAAAGTGCAAGAAGCCGTGAGCATAAAAAATATTAAAAATCAACGCAATTTTGCAGTAGCTTAACACTTGCACTTTATTATACTCAAATTTAATGGGCTACAAAATTCCATACTCAAAAAAAATTCTAAACAAAATTTTATTTTTTTTTAAACTTGTAATGTACTCATTTTACTCTACTTCGGTGTAAAAAAAAATTCATAACTCAAATTATTGTAGAGTGCACCCCATAACATTATACTTAAATATTGCGCAATACTCAGAGCTACCATTGTGATTTTTTCCAATTTTTTTTTGAAATGGTATATTTTCAAAAACTAATTTTTTTTATCAAAAAATTTGTATGTGGAAAATTTTTCAAGAAAAAAATTAAAAAATATTTTTTTTCGTAGGGAATTTTGATGTGTGTATGTGTGATTTATCGATAAAAACGTTTTAATTGCGTATGCATGTTCACTTTGAGCTAATAGTGACAACTGGTTGGGGTAATCTTCGGTAGATTGGGCAAATCGCTAATTGGGCCCAATTGGGCCAAACTTAGAGCCCAATTGGGAACAACTTTTGGCTCTGATCGGGCAACCTCAAAAAATTTCCAGCAAGGAAATTTTTTTGTCATAATGGGCAACAATTTTTGTGCCCTCAACTGGCACGAAAATCTGCTAGCATCATATAAGTGGATTTTCATTTTAGCATATTGCTACTTGTACTGAAAATAGTTTATACTATTCCCCAATAGACAAAAAAGTTTGAGAGAAAAAAAGATGTGGCAATTTGAAAAAAATCAATTTGAAAAAAAAATTTTTTTTTTTTTGTTTATAAACAATAATTAATTATTAATAAACAATTACTGATGTTTAGTTCACTAGATCGATTCAGTAGATCAATATCTGCAATTTAAAAAAAAA